CGATTACCAGTTTTTGCTGCTTTTTATACGAGATCGCCGGTAGTCCCGAGATTAATTTTATTGCCAAGTCGGAGAAACCCCCGAGTCGATCTTCTCCCTCTTAGCTTGGATTATGAGGGGAATAGAGTAGTTGAGAAATTAGATACGTATTCAGACGGCTCGCAATCTTCGTCGTTATCATCGAAGCATGTCAAGATTTATTACCAATCTTCTCGACAGAGGCTTTATCTCTATGACTGTCTTCATTTCGATTACATTTTATGTTCAAAAAGCCGAAGCTCTTTCATCAACGAAAATGACGCGCAAAGGGGAGCAAAACGCTTCGCTGATTTCTTTCGCTAAACGGCAACGAAATAAAGACGACCGAAAACAGAAAAGAACAATATACTTCATGGTAGATGAACAAATAAAAGATAATTTTAATTAATCCAAAGTCATGCGAACAATTCCTTGGGAAGAATTGGAATAATTTGCCTCGTATGTGACGAACACCGATGGGATACAATATGAGGGTGGCTCCTGCATAAACCGACCGAAAGTAAAGAAAATTGAAATTTAAGTATGTTGCAGTGGTAAATTTTATCGGTACGCGAAATTTCAGACCCGGTCTCGCCGATGAAATAAAATAAAGAAATAATGTTAAAGTTGTATTTTTTAACATTCCAGTAAACACCAAGTAACAGTTACATAACATCAATATTATAATTTCCTACTTAACAATGTAAATATAATATAACATGGGTGTTATATTACTATACATTTTTCTTGTTGAGTAGGGAATTATAATATTGTTAATATTATTTTATAAAAGAAGTAGACCTTAACAAAAAATCTTAACAATAAACATAATAAATGTCACAAGGATTCAAATGTGCTATCAAGTATAATATTATATGAGGTCACTTATTAGTAAAGTCAAAAGAGTTACAATGTTTCCTAGCGAAAAAAATTTCTATAAAAATTGACTTGAAGTAGAAATTTGTAGAAATTTTTACATCTTCGTTGAAACATCAACATTAATTTTTTTGTAGAAATATCTACGAAACAGTATTACAATGTTCTCAAATCAAGAAATTATTGCAAATTGTATTTCAGGAAAATGTACAATTTTGTAAAAATTAGTACAAAACTTTACTAGTTTAAAAAATTTGAGAAACAACAAAATCTTAAAGAATTAAAACATCTGCTTGTAGAATATTACAAAAATTAACAAAAGTGTTCCAATTCTGGCATTTTTATGTTGATTTTTATAACACTTTTTAAATTTACGTAGAATTTCTTAGATTCTGGCAATTTAATTTTTTTGTAGAATTTTGTAGAATTATTCCCGGCAGGGTTTTGAGAAAATCAGACAGCTATTTGAGACTTGACAATATCACATATTTTTAAATATGCTTTAAAATGTGCTTATGTAACCTAGCATATCAATGCATTTGATCAATAGTGCATTGAGCGATCATTTTTTATGAAAGAAGTCATATGAATTTATAAAAATCAAAGGGACCCCACCAAAGCACCCATACTAACCGCTCCTTCGTGGAAGGAGCCACCTTAAAAAGAATATTATTAAGAAATATCAGTGTCATACACGAGATTAGAATGAATTCGGGTATCAGGATGCGGAAGGGGCTTGCGAAGATTTGAATAGCTCAGTCGTCTCAAGTTCAGCCCACGTTCTGTCATAGACATTCGCGTTCGAATTAGGAGGAGAATCCTGAATCAAGTCCCCGACCATTACGTGAACGGAATACTTCCCGCCCGAGTGCACGGCTCTGTTGTGACACAATGACGAATATAAACAATCCATATCGCGAAACATGGAAACTGCATAACGGCGACCGCAGAGCCCGGCTCTGTTTATCGATCTGGCGAGTTCGCTTTTGCTCTTCTTAGCAAAGATGTTAACCCAAAATGGATGGATCGAACATCGCCTGTATAACGAGCATCGTATAATGCTGGGTAGTTGTTTATTAGTTTCGCAACTTTAGCCCCGCTCATCTAAGTAATGGTTAACGCGGCGCGGTTTGCGCGTATTACATAGTTAAATATCATCCTCTCCGTGCGGCGGGATATAAACGCGACGGAGGCGTTTTAAAACGCGCGTTCGCCATTTATTACATAACACATTTCGCTCGTGAGATGAAACTGTTTCATTAAACGTCGCTCTCTCTCCCTCGGCTAATAGAGCGAGGGGCCGGCTACGGTGTTTAAAGCGCGGTGCACCTCGACCGCGCTTTTAATTATCGCGCGTCGGTTTTTAACCCTCTCGCGACACGCTGTGCGCGAGCATTTGGACGATATATTATCGGTAACCCCGTAATTTCCAAGCCGGCTCTGGATCCCAGTCGCAAATACCAGTCCGCACAAAGTGCACGCGGCCGTGGTCGTTCACAAAGGACCGCGCATATATTCTGGGTCAGGGTCTCTCAAACTGGGTTGCCTCGCCGCCACCGTACACGTCCGGAACGTGCGAGAGCGCCCGACGATTCAGGGAAAGGTCGCGCCATCAACTTGCGGGATCCCCCGGGCGCCTCGGTTGATCCCCAAGTTCTCCCGTAAAGTCCCCAGTAACGGGGCCATTAAGCGCTCGTGTAAACCCCGGGCCGTGATCGCGGAATTATCGACGGCGTGGCACGGGAGGCCCGCATTGCGGGAACGGTCCGACGCTTTTCCACGCGCGCTCCGGAAACCTCGGATAGAGATCGCGTGGCGCAAAATGAGACGTCTCTCGCGCGACAGACGGCGGGATATCGACGTGGTAACGAGATCCTTACGAGATCCTCTCGCGCGAGACGCGACGGACGATTTTTCGCGAGCTGCGAGAGCGCAGCTTCCCCGAGAGAACCGCTGCTCCGGAGCACACACGCGGGCGTTACGCGTGGGCGGGAGGGTAATAACTACGATGCGAAACTCGCCCGTCAGGCGCAATGAACAACGACGCGTTGTTAAATCGTGCCATTAACGTCCTAAGGACGCGTGTCGTCGTGTTACCGAGGTAACATTCAGCGGGACGGAGGCAGATTTTCCGCCGCGAGGTTTTCTCCAAATTGCGTCATGATATTTTCACATTTTCATTTCAGTCTCTTCAGCGCGGATTGTTCCCGCGCGAAATAAATACGAATTTTTTCCCCCGCCCGTTTGCAGGCGCGAATTCAACTACGGAGAGAACGACGGTCGCGATTGATGAAAATAATCAATTGCTATCGATGCACCATTGATATACGTCAAAGCGGGCGCAATGGAGAGCGCATTTCGAATATTAATTGCGGATCGAGAAACGTTATTTTTTTTATTGGTATTGAAAAAATGTCCCGCGTTTTAACAGCAGCTCGAAGGGCTCGCCTGCCGAATTGCCGCGGCAACAACGGTACGGCAAGTAACACGCGGAAATAATTCCGTTCATTCGTCAGCGACGTCGCTTGGTGAACGGCTCCTTCCAAATGCATGAGATTGAAATTGAAAATATGTAGATTTCACGCGCGCCACGATATAGACGCGTTCGTGTAAAGCGAGCGAGCGGCGAAGTGCTCGCGTGACTGGCTATCGATCAAATCGCTTGAAAATCGACGCCGAAAGTAAATGGCGTATTATCCACTTGAAGGTTGTGTGCATGTGTAAGCGTGCGGGTGAATGAAAGAGGGGAGGCTTTTTGAACAACTGGCTCGAGAGTCGGGAGTTTTCAACATATGTTGTATGTAAAATTATGTAGATTCGCCCGAATGTGACGGTGACTCTTTATAGACTCTGGTGCAGCTTTACGAGATTTCTAATCAATGTAATCGCGTAAACGTTTCGCCTGAATTATGGACGAGTTGCGGGCAATAAGGTTCTTTCGCCGCTCGAGACACGGAAAATTACAGTTAATCGCCAGCTCCGTTGTGAACGTTAACGACGGAAAATTATGACCCCGCGACAGGAATACGCGCGACGAGTGATAACTTATGAGGGGGTGGGGGGGGGGGGGACGATTGATTGATCTGATCGTGGATCAACGGATCAAGCCGGCTCGTTAAAATACTATAAATTACGCAACGCTGCCTATCGTGTCATTAAGCGTCGTGAAACCCGTGAAAAATACTGTAATCAGTAACGTATACTTTCCCTCGTATCGCATAACCCGTTATGCAAAGCTTGCGCAAGATTAATTTCTTAACGACTCGGGAATGTTAACGCGCTCGGTGCGCTCGCGCGCGGCAGGCTACTTCTTTTATGTAAATTTAGGAGCGCGTATGACACGCGCGAATTACGCGAGAGATTTCAATCATACGGTCGCGCTGTCCGGGGATCATGATTGAGGGATGCGCGGAGGAATAAATTAACGGGGAAAATCTGAATGGAAAGTGAGACCCCGAGGATGAAAACGCCTCGCCAGTCGATCATTTGCATGGCGGGCGCGATCTTCATTCACCTGTCATCGCCGAGCCATTCGTCTTTATCAGCTGCTCGTTACCGCGCGTGGCAAGGCCGCGTATTTTATCACGGGGGTAGCGGGGAAAGGGGGTGTCGACCTTCGGAAAGTTCGCGACAGTTTCTCGCGCACGTGGGAATACAGGTGGGCCGAGCTCGGGGCGAAATAAGATTCGCGAGAGCGTCGTCAGGACGCGTGGTATAATCCGTCATCCAATGTACCTTTTCGAAATTCCGTTACCTCGCGTAAGCGTATTTTCACACGTATCCACCGCCGGTTCCCCCCGAACGGATCGCCTACTTTCTTCCACGCGAGCGAATATTTCGCACGATTGGACGGCGCCAGGTATCCGCGTTACGGCGAATCTCGCTTGCCAACAATAAGCTGATTACGCGCAAGTGAATATTAATTGCGCGTTAATTACGCGCCGGATAATGGACGCTCTTTCACAGAGGAAAGGCACTCACGTTTTAATCCACGTGGCGTGGGAGACGCGGGGGAAAAAAAGGATCCGCATCTCCCGCGAGAGCGTCGTCGCGCGATTCTCTTTTTGATAATAAAAAAAAAATATCTAGACGAATAATCCACTCACCGGGTGTGACATTTGGAAACGGCTGGCCCGGCAACGACGGCGGATGCTCGTCCTCGGGCGAACGTTCGGACGCGTATCCCTGGTCCTGCGGCTCGCCGCTCAGCTTGCTCAGCTTCAGATCGACGCACTTGGCGAGCTGCTGGCGATGCTTGAGCAGCTCGCAGTCGGGCTTGTGCACCATCTTCATCAGCAGGTCGTCCCCGACGCCGGGAACGTTGGTGACGCACGGCTGCGAGGACGACGAGTTGGACCCCATGCTCCTGCCGCTGCTGTTTCTGGCGTCCTGCTTGCGCTTCGGCAGCGTGCCGACTAGGTCGAGGTCCGAGTTCCGGTGGGATCTGTCCTCCGAGGACACGCCGCGGCCTCCGTATCTCCTGCCGGAGTCGGCTAGCACGGTGTCGGCGCTGCGATTTCTCTTGACCGTATCGAAGTTACCGTGACGGGTTCGCACGAGGTCGAGGTCGCTCTGTTGATACCTAAAATCAGTCCGGGTTCGCTCGCGGTTAATCTTCCGCCGGGGAGAGATCCGTTTGCGCGCTCGCGTTCGTCGGAAGTTTCATTTCGTGCCGGGGAGAGCTATTTCCTCGGACTTAAAAATGCGGGAAGTTCGCTGCGCGCGCGCGCGCGCGAAGGGCACGTCAGGTTTCAAGTTAAAACTTCGGGGGCTCGCGTTTGATATGAGAGTATGCGCGATCGATCGATCGACGGAGATTGAAGTCCAAAGGGACATTCCCGGGATTCTCCAAATTGCCGGGCCGCCGTTCGTGTCGATCCCCGACGGTTCTGCGACGAAATGTGTGCGCCAAGTGTAATAAATTTCCGGAATTTATTAAGGATAATTAATTCTAACGGCGATTACGTGTCGAACGTCCAATGCGCGTCGCGTTTCTCCGTAACATGACGCGTTTTTGCCCAAGTTTGATTCTTGGTCATCAAGTACCTCCAAGGATCGTTCTCGTCCAAAGAGTCCTGCGATCGGTGCTTAACGAGATCCAAAGTGCCGGTCGGCCCGCTGTCCGAGAAGTGCACTCCTAACGAGCGTTTCTTATGCGGCAACGTGCCGCCGAAATTGCCGCCGACGTTCTCGGACGAGACGTTGTTGTTGTCCCGTCGATCGTCATCCAGCGTGTCCTTATCGTCCAAGTGATTTGGCAGCGAGCCGCAAAACTTGTACCTGCGCAGAAAGAACAAAACGGTTGAGTAATGTATTCATAATCCCGAGCGGGTCGCGGGAACAATTATAATTGACAACAAGTTATGAATACGCTGCGGAACAAACTCCCTTTGGACTTTATTACCTCGTGTTGCGCTTACACGTTAGATCGGCTGCATTGCTCAAGTCACTTTGTTTCTACCTTCGTTACGAGTCTGAGGGAAGACGAAATTTGTAAGACGGAAGCACGCGTTTCGCGTAATAAGATGCCGTCAGAAAGCGTCAAATTCTGCAGGAAAAATACTTTACGGTAATTTGCATAATCCGCTGTTCACATCGTTTGTACGCCGTTTCGTTGATGCAACGGGAGCCGCGAACGATCGTTTTGTATGACGTCGCTCGTTTCTCGTGTATGTACGTACGTACGTAACGAAACGCGCAAAATGCGACGCGAATGTAAATTCGCGTGCGTGAGAGAACGCTTCTATTTAAAACGCCACTGCTGCGCTCGCGCGACGGCGCGAACGAGGGTGGACAAAAATGAAATAAAATAAAAGCACTTAAAAGCGATATATGAGGTGCATTCGATGCGACGAGAACAACTCCCCCCGTGACAGCACGTTCGCGTGTTATGTGACATACGTGACATTCGAACAAGATGAAATCGAGAGCACTGGAATCGAAATATCGGATGATGTTCGTAAGATATCTCGCCGTTCCGCTCCGCGCGCAAATCTGCCAATAAGCTCGCGTGCATTTTCAATATAAATATCATGGACAAATCGCCTTTCGATCCATTACAGATAAAGACAAAGTCAAATTCAAACAGGAAACTTGTAGTCAATCCAACTGGCATATTCCTTTATTTATTTAATACAACGTTTCGACCCTATTTTTGGTTCCTTATCAAGTGATACTAAGTAAGTCAACGTCGTCCATAAGACAGAGTCAAATTATAAAAATACAAGTACATGTGAGCACTGTGGATGCTGGGCACGAACATTTTAGACTCGTTTGAGCCCAGCATCCGCAGTGCTCACATGTACTTGTATTTTTATAATTTGACTCTGTCTTATGGACGACGTTGACTTACTTAGTATCACTTGATAAGGAACCAAAAATAGGGTCGAAACGTTGTATTAAATAAATAAAGGAATATGCCAGTTGGGTTGACTACAAGTTTCCTGTTTGAATTTTTAATCATCACTGGTGACTGTAACTTCGTTCAAAGTCAAATTCAGTTTGGTCCTCAACGCTACGATATAAAATTCCCCTTCGTTTCTTCTCTTCTTGTTTATGAAAAAGTCGCAGTACCGATATTTTCTCTTATCTTTCTCGGATACTTTGACGGGAGGAAAATGTTCGCAACAATAACAAAAGTTGTATAACTCTCCCCATTTATTCTTCGCCGTTACGACACTCTAAGATTGTTGGAAAATACGCTGAGAGGGTATGACATAATCGTCGTAATGTCACGACACGTGACAACGTTTCGTATTTGCTCAGTGCGATCGTGTTTGCGTGCGTCTCGTAAAACACCCTACGTGACAACGGACCGTACCGGGAACGGTATAGGAAACTTTACTAATAATTCGTACGTGACATCATCCGCCGTGGTCCGCTTTCACGCCCGGTGGATAGGCGAATGCCTGCCTGCGCAAACCTTCGTGGCATGCATAAGCGCACAAGCGCGCGGAGCATCTGACCTTTCGCCGCGGGTCTCTCCTGGTCTCTCCACTTACTTCGTCCTCTCGCGTCGCGGATACCTCGGTACAGTGCCTAAAAATTCTATCCGGTCATAGAGCAATGATACAAATAACAGTCTTATAACACAGTCCCTGACAACTACAGCCACGATGAGGTACGCAATGTTAAAATAACTTGAAATTCAGAGAAATATCCCGTTATAGACTCGTGACGCTGCATAATCTATCGCTAGCTTCAACTTAATCTTCTTCTTCCGTCGTTATTGTCAAAAGTTCATTTTCTCATTGTGCATGTGAACGTAACATCTTCTTATAAGAAGTAAAACGTGTAATCACTATTTTAAGATTAAATCAATAGAAATAGATACTTTAAGTCAACGTTGATATCAAGTATAGGGTTATATTACGGCAACAACCCGAGTCGAAATTTTTGCCCTACGTTGAACCTTTAATTCCATTATATAGTATGACCTAAGACAGTACAAGAGGTTCAACTGCAAGTACAAAATTTACTCCTACTTAAAAACTGATAGTGTCGGAAATTTCTACTTTTGCCAATTTAGCATTAAAGCAGATCCTTTCAAGTAGGAGCTAAAGTAAATTTGTATCAGCTAAGTAGGTGTAAATTATCCTTAAAAGTGTCAAAAAAGTACCAAAATTTCGACTCGGGAAGCCGCAAGGTTTTCTCTGAGAAATAAAACACTCTTTTTACAACCATGGAGAAAGAAATGGCTTTTCGATAATGTAACTAAAATGCAGTCTGATATTTCAAGGCTCGAGCAAACAAGTAAGAAACGAAACGACGATTCCGCTTGCGCGTATTACCGGTGTTGTCAGTGCCGGGTTAGACAACAGCACTTACGCAAATGAGATCAGGAAGCGCGCGCGGCCGCCTTTTAATATTCCCTTCCCGCGACTGCTCTTTTAGCCCACGTACCCTTATTCCTCCCGGCTCTGCGCCGTCCCCGTGTAAACGAGGGTTTAATGGAAGCCGCCCCGGTTCAGCGACTGGCCGACCTTAGAGGTACTTAAAATTATCTCGCGGCCGGCAACTTGTTACTACCGGAGGCGGCGCCGCCGCCGCCGCCAACCCCATTGTAGGGTTGCTTGTGCAGTCGCTGCGAGAGAGAACTATGCGCTCAGGAGACGCTGAGTGCAAGTGGGCTCTCTGTTTTGTACGTCGCTACAAGATGCAGAACGGCTTCCGCACCAGTAAAGTTTCCCCAGGTTTCCTCCTTTTACTTTAAACGCGCCAACATTACTTTAAATATCTCGTTTAATTCAATTGTTGTCGGAGACGGAATTTAGCAAGGCAGCACGAACTTAGGCATCTTAGATAAAGCTAATACAATCACACCTAAAAGTACTTGCAATAAAATATATCGTTCATCAATACCGTACGATTTGTCTCATTTCAAGTACTTTTCCAAATAATTTTTCCAAAGGCTGTACAGTAATATTTTATTGACGTTGCGCCTCGAGCATGACAAAATGTAACGATGTAAAAGCTTAATTAAGATCCAGGTAGGCACAGGTATGAAGATTGAATATCACGAGACGCCGACCTATATTACGAAAAATGGTCGGGAGTTCGGGCGAGCTTATTAAACTTATATTAACGAGGCGTCTGTCCTTGACGGATTCGCTAATAGTTTTTAGATGGTGGAGGACCGCGCGGCCAACCGGTTACAGAAAGATCACCGTCGTTCGCGGCTGCACCCCGTTATTACTGCGAGCGTATGCGAGACGCAGATAATTATTAATTTAATAACAGGACGACGTGCGCGGTCGGCTCATTTTCTGCCGATTTATCACCGCCATTTATCACCGTTATCAACGTCGAATGTAATTCACCTTCGGATTAACGATCTCGGACATTGTCGGCCACGCGCGGCCGGAGGCTTACTCCGTTTAGTTGGTTAGGCGAGGGAGTAGAGGGATATTACTGCCATACGCAGCATCATGTTTTAACGACAACCTCGTTATCGCTTAATCGTCTCTCACGCAGCTTAGCACATCAATACATAACGCGCTCGTTCTCACATCGACCAAGGATTCCGAAGTGCGGCGCGGGATTTCATTTTTCTACCCGACGAGAGGCTCCCTTGGCCGAGCTCTAGTCCTCCTTTAAACATTTCATTAGCGCGTGCGTCCAAATTACGAGACTTTATCACTTGGCAAGTAATCCTATTTGCGGCTAAACATAGCTATTCGTGATTTATAGGGAGATACCGTCCCGTAATCCTCGACGGAATAATCAAGAGGACCATCTCCATCGATCGATTTGCGATCAATCTTGGACGATTTCGCTATGTAAATTTTGTCACGTAGACAATTCTTTTTAGCTGTGTTACCTTATTAATGAATATCGATTATCGTATTTGGATTAAGTAATCTCTTGATGACTCTCCTAGGTATTCAAAAGCTGTCGCGCAAATTAATACCATCAAACTGTCAATCAACGAGTTTGCCTTGTTAATAGTTGCGAATGTCACTTTGATCGACAGTTTGATGATATTAATTCATACGATAGCCTTTCAATATCTTTGCCCTGTTAAAAGACTTGACGTTTCAATACCACGTCGTCTCTCATAATGGTTAACGATATTTTCTAAAATAGTTTTTAATTCAATTCAAGGGGCATTTATTTGTCCCTTACGAGCCTTAAGAAAAAGAGATCGAGGCAAAAATGGTTTCAGAGTAGCGATTTAAGTTTCAATTAAAAAAATTAGGTAAAACATTCGTGAGCAAGTTTAATGATTCTTTTATGGAAAGACGTGAGTGTTGAGTGAATCTCTTTTCAACAGACACAAAGGGCTTGTGGGCAAAGAAGTTAGAGGTTAGAGGTAAAGAGAGTTAATGTCTTATCGTTCCGCGGGGATCGTGGGTAAAGAACGGTTCACACCGATGAATGAGCTCCCCCTCTTTACACAGTTGACAAGCAGTACACGAATGCTGTGTAAATAAAGTCGCTAAATACTTAAAAAGTATATAAAAAGTATCTTAAATCATAAAATCACTTTAATTAATCTTTTCTTGATAATATCAAAGTAATTGCATTCATAAAAACCGTTGCATAACGTAACATAAAATGTGAATAATGATAACAAGAACATTAATCTGTAGAATCAAGCGCGATTGCATTACTCTACGATCACCTATAAATCTATTAATATAATTCAAAATTATATTTAATTACGATTTAGTTATGATAATTTTCATAAAATAATTTTTTCTTTGTATTAAATGAGTAGTGAATAATTCCATAGCGTCTGTATGATGCAATAATTGCATATTAATAGCCACAAAGCTAGCAATAACAAAAGTCCAGTCATTAATGTCATACTTCAAATTAAACTATGTGTTCAATTTATGCAGTCTGTTCTAAACATGTCTATAATCCACAGGTAAATTTGTGTTAAGCAAACTATTGGCGTGATACTGGCAATGCCTTAAGGGTATCGGGCGGGTAATCGATCGTGAATTGACCTTTCCATCCGCGTATTGCAACGCAACTGTTCCCAGCAGCGTTTTCAATCGTTTTTCGTGTCGTTCGAAAAATTAACAGTGTCTGCGAGGCTAGATTGCAAAGAAGATCTAATCTGTCGCGAGAGAAGTGTGATTGAGACACCTTGCAACCTCCTTTTTCTCACGTCATGTTTCACAACATTTAATTCCAACTACATTTGTACCAACCTCGTGTTTACATATATAAAATTTTAATTTTCTCTTATTTAAATTGCAATCTAATTTTATATTTATGCATTTCTTTACATCTGCGGTTTAGTATCTTCGTTGGAAAAGGCTACGAGAAAAAATGTCGATAGTACCAACTATTAACGGCCATTCAGAGTGCAATTGAAAAACGCTGGTCGCAAGTTTGGTTGTCGGTGACCGCCATAACAGTCGCAATGTGGTAAAATGTATGTAAAATGAAAGTTTTCAGTGAAAGAGATAGCCAATGTAGGAAATTAATAGTCGACACAACTGGCAAATTCTAATTAAAGAAATTGATTGCCAGGGTTTGAGCCTGGGCCTCCCTACACTCTAGGCGGGCGTCTTACCAATTCGAAAGAGATAACAATTATAAATGACTAACCTTTCTCTCTGCGCGCTGGAACAGGGCACCAATATCTTCCCCATACTGTTGAGCTTCCCCTTGGGGTCGCACAGATTCCCCGAAGATTGAGTGCGCCGGCCAGTGAGGCCCTTTCCATTATGTCTGCTCAGATTCGAGCCCATTATCGATTCCTCGGTTACTTGGATTTGATTCGTTTGCTGGTCCTCCTCGCGACAGTTCACGGCATTTCCGGGCGTGTTCTCTTTGTTCGGCCAGTCGAAGTATCTGTCGATCCGGTCCTTGGCATTGACCCTACAGGATGTCGGCTGCGACGGCGGGGGCGGCGCCGGCCGGTTCCTCTTACCGCCGGAAACGACCGGTTGCAATTGAGGCCGGCGACGATTGTTCGATTGCGGCGATTCACCGTTTACGGACAACCTCTGTGTTTTCCAGCTCTCCTGACCGTTGCTGGTGGACGGCACCGTCACCACTTCCTCACCTGCAATCGTAAAGCAATATTGTTGGAGTGATACCGATCGTTAGCCATTTCGGGAAATAGGGTTTCTCTCTTTTTGTAACGCGACGCATCGCGAAATTGCATCCACAGCTTCGGCTGGATGTTTGACTTTATTTTCAACTGTCGCGCGCGTACGTTTGTATGAGAATGTTCAATATTTGTTCTCTTTTAGGGAGCAATGCATTTTCAAAAATAATATTGCAACCCAATTCGCGCGCAACTCCTGGCGTAGATCGTCATAGGGTGTGTCGTATATTATTAGAATATATTCGACCCACAGAGCGTTTGTGTAGCCATGATTTATTTTACACTCTCTTAACCCCTACGACCTTTGAATAAAGCAATTAAGTAAATCAGGAAAGCGAATCAGGTTTTAACGTAAAGTAGCGGAATATTTCACTGTGTGCGCTAGAATAAAATTTCTATTCGCGCGTTTGAGTTTCGACCGAGCGATGTTTTACAGCGATAACGTCTCTCACAGAATATCTGCATCTGAACATGTTTGCAATTCATATGGCTTTGCGCAGAATGAAGAGTTTGCGTATATCTAGCCGTGACCGATTTGGGCATTTGTTAGTGCCCTATGATTTTATAGAATAACACAATACGTCCAACTAAAATATACAAAAATTCATTTAATCTCGCGTATATATCGTGTATATCTAAGAATCGTGTAGTAAAGTAAATTCGTTGCAACTAAAATCCATTTTTATTATAAACATATTAAATATTAATATTTTATTGAAATAACAGTTTTCAAATTAACAAGGGTTTTTTTCGTAAATAAAGCTCCGGGAACGCAAGCAAAATTTTCTTCTTTGTATCATTCTAATTAGAAATTTTACCCTTATAAAATTTTATAATTATGATAACGTGTAACGTGTATTGGAAATTTTCTATCGCAAGAAATGATGACATCTCTCTTGATATTTTTGATAAGGGAAAGATTCAGATTGGAAATTATCGATCTGGTGAAAATAAGATAATCTGCATAAATTTTGCATATTTTGCTTCTCGATCCGATCGCGTCCTGACAGAAATGTAATAACACAAATTCTGTCTCAGTTTCCGCAACGGTTACAGAGCGCAAGTCGCATTCGCGTTCACAGGGAGCTTAGTGTTATGTCTATAGAGCACGTTTCGTAGCTGCATACCCGAGGTCCGAGTCACTAATAACCAAGGTGCACGAGGCTTATTGCATAACCGTATTATTAATGCGGCCGGCATGCATGCACGTGCATCGTGCGCCTCCACGAATCCAACGAACGGAGCAGAATCGAAACGCTAGGCTCGTATCGTGGCTGTTGTGTCTACAAGCGGAAAGTTTTAATTTTCGACGCAAAAGAAACAACAGCGATCGCTATGGAAGAATGAGAGCACCGGTACTGTGCAAGTCCGATGAATTCATTGGCGAATCGCGGGCGCGTGAATTGCGATTTGTTCCGACGAAAGCGAAATTGCGTCAGTGAATTCATCGCGCGCGTATGTACATTGCAAATGTCATTTCATAAAGATGCAAAACTTTCGGAACACTTTTCGAACGATCCATTTCCGAGAAGGGGATATTGAAAAAATTAATTTAATTTGGAAATTTTAACCAAAGTCGAGCGTTTGAGCAAACTGTCGTTGTTTACTCATGAGAAACGCGTATTAAAATATCCGACACCTACACCATTTGCACGAAACTTTGGTTTTAATTCAAAATATTGTAGTCGGAATGCACTTCCTGCCGTTCACGGATCTCGCAAGCGGAAGGTTGTAATGACTCAAAGAAAGAGTCGGTCATTAACACACATGAGGAGGAAATGCCTGGGAGTCATACTTCGCATGCTTGTACTTGATTTCTCGCAGGAAAGTATTACGTTAGCGATTCTACGGCAATCGGGACGATCAACCGTTAATCTACTAGTTCATAGATATGCAACATCCGCTAGATACAATTGTTAAAACTAACTCGACTACATTGTCGGCGCAAAGAAGGGACGACGCGTGCGATTAAATTGCTTTCTAATAACTTTAAATATTTTCTAAGGAAGATGTTCACATTTTAGTAACTTAGAATAGATTAAAAATGATATCCGAATTTCTCTCTCTCTTCTTTATTTGCTCTTTGTAAACTAACGAAGAATCCGCGTTCTGTTGCAAATGTCTTTTCAGAAAATGGTCTACTTTAAAACAGAATAATACCGTTGGAAAATATTTCTTCAGTCTACGAATGACATAATCCCTCCCTAGTTTTACCGCCATAAAATCCGAATCTTTTATTTTATCGTCTTATTCGTGCACGGCGTGTCTTCTTTGGATTATTCATAACAGTTTCGCTCTACGTGTATACACATCCTATTTCAGATAATGTCGTTGTCGTCGTCGTCGTCGTTGCTGTTAAGTTAACCGATAAAATCGCCGTTTTACGGTGTAATCGAGGGAAACAGAAAGAAGTCGAGAATCAGCCGTAACGAAAGATGTAACTCTCGAAGAGAAGCTCTAATCTTCGCACCCATTTAAGAGAGAGATACTGCTCTTTCGGAGCTTACTTTATAAAGAGAGTGCCTTAAGTGAAAGGCGTCTAAAGGTACGTTTATTTAGCTTAATACGTGGTCCTCGGCCGTACATTATCTCGCATGCGAGCCGATGTGTAAAAAAAAAAAAACTTCTCTACCGTGCACGTGAAATTACCGTTGCGCCGGTAATTGCCATCTTACCAGTGCGTGACGCGTTTGTAATGCGCGCGTTTACAATAGCGTTCAGGAGTAAAAGATATACACGTCAAGTGGCGAAAGAGATTCTTTTCGTTTCGATGTGAAATGCAGGCTGCGAGTGGCATTGCTTTTTGCCCGAGATAGAAAAATCAACTTTATACAAGAGAAAGACTTGCGCTTTGCGAAAAAGACCTGCGTCACTTTGGGAAGTGAGAAATTTCGACAAAGTTCAGAAGTTCAAAGTTCATTGAAATCGAGGAGAGGCGTTTGCGAACCGAGAGGACGGGCACCGTTAATTTATAATCGATCGGCTATGACAGCGGTATTTAATCGGTGGATTGGTTCTAAAATCAGCACGCCGTGCTATTTGATTGACTTTACCAGAGATCGTGTCGTCAACGTTAGCAATTATTCCGAACTCTTCCGCCTATGCGGCTTTCGGTCGCGAATAAATCCGGAGGTGGGTAAATGTGGGAAATTGATAGGAATCGAGCAGGTCGACCCCAGGACAATTATTGGCATCGTAAAGGAGCCGGTCGCTGATCCGAAATTTATTGCGTCGAGACCTTTCTGCCGACAAAGTGCAATCATACGTGCTTCTCGTATGCGCGCTTAAAATTTGCGCAGGTATAGCAATTTAAAAAAAAAAAACGTTTGCACAGTTGAGCATCAAATATTGGCAAGAATATTAAAGCTATTAAAAATATTACAACTTATATTATATTTACATTCGTTTCAATATGTTTCACGGGCAAGTAGTTTAACGTCGGAAATTAGGAAATAAATTCCTTCGATAAATCGAACCGCAAGAGCAGAGGTGGATATTACGAATGCTTTAGCGAGATCTTATTTTTGAGTTAATTTTAACGGAGTTTATTTGTTACTTTGTTGCTTGGCAGAAAATTTAATTTGAGGCTTATATAATCACCAAGATATTTATGCCGAAAGTTGGAAAGTCGTAACAAATGACTTTCTATTGAATCTTCATTATAGAAAAGTTGTGACTCTCTAAATTAACCCAAGAATCATTAAAACAAAAGTACAATAATTATGAGGCCTTTTTAAGGCTCCCTCCCTCTCACTCTTTCGTAATTTGTCATCGTTATCTGTCACCACGTCGCTAAATTTTGTAAAAAGGGATTCGCAATGGGTTTTAAACTGAAATGCATTCTCCATAAGGTCAAGGATAATTTATATATCCGTGGTATTATCGTACTTTCGTAACTACGTTTATTTGCGGATAAATCGAGCGCGGTTTTGCGCGCTGAAATATTCAATGCTGCCATTGTCGGGAAGAGAGAGAGAGAGAGGAAAAGAGAATCCGCAGGACGACGTGGACATACAGAACGCGATATAATACGAGACTGGAATTATAATTACTCCATAATTAGTTCCGAGAGAGCGTTACGCGCTAGCGGAACTGAAATGCTCGATTCATCGTCGTGCAATTACCGTTGCTTTCCTATCGACTGACACCGCCGGCGAAAAACAATTCGAGATTGTTCGGGACGGCGGGAGATCGCGGGCGGAAATAGCCGGAATAGCCGCGCGCGGAATCGCGCACTAATTCGCATTATGCCGAGCACGTGCTTGCCGATCGCAAACGCAAGCGCGAGCGGTAGCAGTTACAGCGGCTGTGCACTCGTGCGGACTGATATGCTGTGTCGGAAAATCCATTTGTATGCCAATTAACCCGCGTCTGCCGCGGATTTATTGTCGTAAGGTCAAGGCGACCGTCATCACGTTCTGGGTAATTAAACATCGTTCGCAGGTCTCGGAAAAAAAATGGCAGCTTACCATATTTATGCACGTAAGCAACTGTGCTTGTCGGACTAAGAAAACGATAAAGATGGACGACAAATGCAAAGTTCTCGAGTTTTATATTATTGAAATAAAATTAACGAAAGTACTGTTAACGAAAATAAAGATGTACAAAATAATTAAGTAAAGGAATTACATAACTGGCGAAGAAATCATGGAAAGCTTGAGTACTGAAAATTCGATACACTTGACAAGTGCTTCAGTAGTTTTTTTTTTCTATGGAATCTATTACTTTTCTGAAGATTTACGTCTTCATAATGTAAAATACACTCTGACGCGTTGAGGAAATTTTTCTCGTTCCGTGAAGGATTGTAAAAGTAGTAGCTTCATAATCTTAATCTAATAAAGACTTAAACAGTGACGACTCCAAGCTGCATTTGGAAAGACAGATAACGTTTCAAAGATAGAAAACAGAGGAAGAAATCAAGTTAACGTAGCATCTGTAATAGTCATAACAGTCTT